TATGTATGTATGTGTATGTATGTATGTATGCATGTATGTATGTATGTATGTATGTATGTATGTATGTATGTGTCTGTCTGTCTGTCTGTCTGTCTGTCTGTCTGTCTGTCTGTATGTATGTATGTAGGTAGGTAGGTAGGTAGGTAGGTAGGTAGGTAGGTAGGTAGGTAGGTAGGTAGGTAGGTAGGTATGTATGTAGCATGTATGCATGCAGTTATGTGATAGATGGAACCATATGTGCCAATGCGTATGTGCATGTGTATGCCTACTGCCCCAAAGCCCTAAACACCATACCCCAGCCTCATGATCTGTTCAATCGTCGAGAACCAGATATTCCAAAACATTTCTAAGCCAGAACCTTGAGTGCCTGAAAACCAACACCTCAAACCCTAGACCCTGAATGCCCCAAGCCCTGAACCCTAAGCTTTGAACCCCGGGCCCCAGACCTCAAACCCCAAAGCCCTCAAATAGTAGCCTTAGCCGGGAGAGTGTACAGTATATATTATAGTATATAATCGAATATTATTCTATAGTATAGTCAGCCCTGAACGCCCCGAAAGCCCCGAAACCCCTCAACTCAACACCCAGAAAACCCTAGATTTTAGACTTCATGCCCCAAGCCCTGAAAGCCCCAAGACCAGGTCACATCCCGGCGTCTTCATCCAAGCCAACCACCTGGCAGGCTTCGAAGAGGACTCTATTACGCCTTAGTTCAGGAATGTACCTTGAATCTTGTTAGGGTTCCCATTATAACTTAAGGTATGTCCCTTAAAAATTAAGGAATGTACCTTACATCGTAGGGTTCCCATTATAACATTAGGTGTGTATATATATATATATATGTATGTGTATATATATATATATATATAAAAATTAATTAAGGGGTTATATATATAATATGTATAAGTAATATATATATATATATATTTACATATATATATATATATGTATTAATTAAGGGTTGTTGGAGTCTCTGGCTTCGAAGAGGACTCCTTCAAGGCCTCCTGTAAAAGTACTCTGGGGTTCATTATTAAGGTTCCCTTTAAGGGTACCCTTTAAGGGTACTTGTAGGGTTCTAGAAGGTGGTGCCCTTTAAGGGTACTTAATAGGGTTCTAGAAGAAGGTCCCCTTAAGGGTACTTCATAGGGTTCTAGAAGAAGGTCCTCTATACAGGCACTTATAGGGTTCTAGAAGAAGATCCCCTTTTGGGGTTTCTTTACAGGATTACTAGAAATCGAAGGCCTACTAAGAATCAGAGTTGGGCTTTCACTTTCACTGATGTGTCGTGAAAAAGCAGTAGACTCATATTCTGAAGCTTTTTGTGCCCGAAGATAGTTTGAGGCTGATGGGACAGGGTATGAACCCTACCCCTAAGCCCCAAACTTTAACTAAATCTGTCGACTTCCCGAAGCATGATGAGAATGCAGCTACGCAGGCTTCTCAAGCTTTGGGCGCGGTTCAGGGTTTAGAGTCCCGGAACCCGTCAAAGCAGAGCATCAAAGCCAGTTGAATCAACTCGGAAGCCTCTTTGAGAAAAACCTGAGCCCTAAAGCAACACCCAATGCCTCAGCCCGACTGCACCTGGAGCCCTAAACGGTATCCCCGAGTCGTTAGGTCCTTAAAAACCATCGTAACCATAGTAACCTATACACCAAAAGAGCAGTCTAACCACTAAGTAAGGCCCTCAACACTAAAACCTAAACATTAGGCCTAAACCCTAAACCTTAAAACCCGAAACCCCAAATCCCTAAACCCTAAATGCCAAGCTAAACCTTAAACCCTACAACAAGGCAAGGACCTGAGGCTCCCCTACCAGCCCTTAAAGGAGACCGCCTCGAACCGCCGACCCGAAAGCTCCGGCTGAGAAGGGTAGCCCATCAGCTCGACACCTGCTTTAGTCGGGCGCTCGGGTTTAGGGATTTTTAGCGTTTAGGGTTTAGTGTTCTAGGGTGTAAAGTTCGAAGGACCAAGGAGGATAGAGCTGAGGGTTGTGTGGGTTTGCGGTTCGGGCTTTAGGAGTGTTTCGGGCTTTCAAAAGCGTCTGGCGGGTGTTGGGAATGCTTTGCAGGGTTTGTTGTTGTGTCTGTGTACTAGACTTGTTGGGCTCACGGCCGGGGTGATGGGATGTTCGAAGACATCTTCATAATCTGTGGCCCAGCAGTATGAACGGGAAAGCGCCAGAAGTAGCAGTGCACCTACAGTCGCAAGAGGCCAAACCCCAAATCTAACCTCACCAAAGGGGTCCAAAGTCCCTACATAGGGGATGCTTAGCCGAACCAGAACCGAGATTCCGACTGTGCAAACCCGACTTTCTGCTATGCAACTAGGCTCCGCCAGTGTGGCTACAAGTCCCAGCAAACCTGCAACAAAGCATCCGCAGCTGAAAGGGTCCCAAATGAGTACAAAGTAGGGGGCAAATAGAGTTTCGATCATAGGAACTCTTTGGGCAAGTATCCCCCGCCTAGGTACTCAGGACCCTTTGGGAACTTATGAAAACAACCTGCCTGTGTAGGCTGAAAGCTACAACAGTCTGAGCCACGTGCGAGATCCCCCGGGAAGCTTTGGTAGCCGTTCAGGCCAAGCCTGGGAATTCATGTGGGTAGTTGTCAAAATTATGGTCCCTTTTGGGGTACCCTAAATAATAGGTGCCGTATTATAATAAGAACCCAAAAAGGGACCATAATTTTGACAACCACCCATGTATCTCCTTACGGTTTAGTGCTGAGAGTTTAGGGTATGTTGCAATTTACAAAGCTCAGGGCATACAAGGGTGCACTTGTGTCTGCTGTTCTCTCAGTGCTATTCTGTTGTTGCCTTTCTCTCTTCTTCAACAACCAGGCCCAAACAAGTTCAAACTTTTTAGGATAGACCTAATATGTTATATAAAGGCAAAAGGTTTAAAGTTCTCCCATTGGCTATCTAAGCTTTAGGGTTCATGTTCTGAGCTTAGCCTTAATTAGGAATTTCAAGCTTAGGCCTCATATGGTTCAAGGTCTTGGGCTACGGAATTTCTCGTTTCGGACATATGGGTGGTTGTCAAAATTATGGTCCCTTTTTGAGTCCTTTATATAGTACCGCACCTATTATTTAGGGTACCCCAAAAGGGACCATAATTTTGACAACTACCCTTTTGGAAATAGGAGGCAGCATGATCCCTTGTCTTGTATAAGGGCCCTACTAGCAAGGCACTCCTTGTCATGTTAAGGAACTCTCAGCCCACTCGATACTTTTATTAAGTTGTAGTTCTGGGGACCCAAAAATAATTAGGAATTTCTAGCTCTATAGGACCAACAGGGAAATTAAAGTGACCCTAAACCCTAAACCTTAAACCCTAAACCCGAAGCCAGAAACCCTAAAACCCTAAAC